GGCCTTGTGCATTTCCAGAGATCAAGGCTCTTCCATCTTTAGTTCTGGATGGGGTTATGCAACCCCAGATAGACCCATTGTGCGATCTGGAAACCCTCCTAGAGTCCTAGACTCAAAGAGCAGGTGGCACTCATGGCTAAGAGAGCCTTTGCACACCTTCAGCTGGTACACCAGGTGCACACATTCTTGGACCAGAAGGCCCTGCTCACAGTAACTCTCACTTCTGTAATCTCTCATTTAGACTAGTGCAACACGCTATATGTGGGGCTATCGAAACTTCAATTGGTCTAGAATGCGGGCAGTAAATGGCACAAGATATATAGCGTCTATAACCCCACTTTTGTATGAGCTGCATTGATTACCAGTTTGTGTCTGGGGGCACAAATTCAGAGTCCTGGTTGTAACTTCTAAAGACCTAAATGGCCTGGGACCAGATTACCGGAGGGATCATCTTTTTCCAAGAGTCTCCACCCATCCACTTCAATCTAGCAGAATGGGCATGCTGCAGATCCCATCAGCCAAAGAGTGGTCAGTTGATGAGGACTAGATGATAGGTTTCTTCTGCAGTTATCCCTGCTCTGTGAAACTTCCTCCCTTCGGATATTAGGCGGACTCCCAACCCTTTTAGCCTTTTGTAAGGCCCTAAAAACCTGGCTGTTGCAAAGCCTGGGATACATTTTCTGCCTTTACTGCTAACACTACACTGGCCAAGTATCTCAGCTGCTATGTATTTTCATTTTGGATTTTATTATTTTTAATCATTTGATTGTTTTAAAATACTTTAGTGTTTTAATTGTATTTTTTTTTACTTGTAAGCCACCCAGAGTCATTGACTGTGATGGGTGACTATAGAAATTAAATGAATACATGCATGCATGCATACATACATATTCAGGAAAACCAGATAAATTACAGTAGGCTGGAATATCTTAAAAAGGACAGCTGCATTCATTTCAATGCATGCATGCCTCAAATTTTATTAGAGTAAGTATGTTATTTCTACTCTGCATATAACCTGAATTTTTTTCCAAAAATGTCCTCTAAAATAGTACCTCTTTATCTATTTCATTTCAGAACTATCATGAAATTATGGCTTGCCATCCAGATAACTTCCAGTGGAAACAATGGTGCTTAGAAAATGTTGCAATTATTCTTGGTCATCGTTTTCCAGGCAGTTACATTTGGATTATAAAATGTTCCCGAATGCATTTGCACAAGTTCAGCTGCTATGATAATTTTGTGGCAAGCAATTTATTTGGAGCACCTGAACACAGTACTGACTTTGGAGCCTTCAGACACCTTCATGCCCTGCTAGTTAATGCATTTAAACTTGCTCAAAATTTTGTGTCTCAGAAAAGCATGTGCGACTTCAGCGACAATACAAAGGCAGTTCCTTGTGAATTGCCTACTTTTGCAACTAGTAATGGTTGCCCAGCAGCGGAGAAACACTGTGAACATGTTAGCAATTCTGCTATGAGCTTTAATGAGCCTTCTGCTATTGGTAGAGCTTCATTCACATTAATAGGATTCAGTAAAGGCTGTGTTGTCTTGAACCAATTACTTCACGAACTGAAAGAAGCAAAAAAGGACAAGGATATAGATGCTTTTATACAAAATATAAAAGCTATGTACTGGTTGGATGGCGGTCATTCTGGAGGAAGTAATACTTGGGTAACATACCCTCACGTGCTGAGAGTCTTTTCACAGACTGGAATCTCGGTTAATGCTCATGTCACACCATATCAGGTATTTGATACAATGAGAACATGGATTGGAAAAGAGCACAAGAGATTTGTACAACTTCTTGAGGAGTTTGGTGCAAATATACATAGCCAACTTCATTTTGCTGATGAAGCACCTTCTTTGGACAATCACTTCAAAGTGCATGAAGTATTTTGATGTGTTAATAACGGCAGTATACTGTATCTGCAAAATAGATCTTAAACTTCAAGTTTTCTTAACACTTGGAAGAGGAAATGTTGCATATGCTTTCTACTGCTTATAACCGAAGTCACCAGAAAGTTACAGCTTTTGGATCTGAACAAGGCAATAGTATCCATGAGGAAAACCAATTTAAGAGTAAAAAGGAAAAAAAAACCTTAATTCGGATTAATGTTATAGGAAAGGTTTATGTAATTTGTCTAGAATTATAATGAGCAAAACTTTCAAGCCTAGGTATAAAAAGATCATCTTCAAATTCTTCTAATTTGATGAAATTGAAGTTTTGTTTTTGAATAAAATCCTGTTATTGATATGGGATAATTATTAGAATATCAAAGCTATTCTAAACATTATTTAGTACTTTAGCACAAGCAATGCAGTGAATTGGTCATTTTGACAGTATTTGTCTTCATTGCAATAAGTATACAATAACCTTGGGAATAAGGTGAATAACTACTGTAGTGTTGTGCCACAGATGCCCTGCAGTTTCTAACCATTGCAAGCATCTGCACATGTATTTTTTTGTTTTCTTTGCAGGGGGCAGGCATTGGAGGAGAATTGAACAACTTTGTGTGTTGTGTGTGTACAAAAAAAACGTACACACATGGTTCAACATTCCATATTAATGGTGAAGCTTAACTAAGGCTCAATACAATCTTGAGCTTTTGTAACTTGAGACTGTTAGAACTTTTATAACAACTGTTATAACAACTTTGCTGAATATAAAGCCATGTAATTATATTAATACTGTACGTTTTTGAAAAATGATAGTAGCATATAATTATTTATAACGCAGGAATACCAAGGATTACCACAGTGTAAAACATTTTGATGTTTCTGCTAGTTATAATTAAAGTATTAACCCATCAGTGCAATTGACCGATATTTGTATACATTGTTTGAAAGCTAATTACTAAAAACTGGAACACTATCTGAAAATGGGGAAAATAGAATTCATCTGAATTTTAAAAGATTTGTGACACTGTAGGGACCCTTAAAACAGAATTCCCCAACCTTTCCAGCTTTGCGGTCCTGGGGAGGGAGAGGGGATGGTTCTGCACAGCTGGGGTGCGCACGCGTGCATTCGCCATCACTTCCGCCACCCAGTTCCAAACCGCTCAAGGCCACCCAGTTCCAAACCGCTCAAGGCCCAGTAGTGGGCCAGTAGTTTGGGGACCCCTGCCTTAAGACTTTGATGAAAAAAATATTGTTGAAAGGTGATAAAATTATTGCTAGAAAAAACTTAGGTTAAAAGTCAAAAGCTGTATCTAAATTGTTTTTGCTATAACAGAAACTGTTTGATAATCTAATTTTCACAAAATCTCCTCCTAATTACATTTCTCCATATTATTCCATTCTGTGTTTTGCAAGAAGGGAACCTTTCAACAGTAACTTTTTAAAATGGGATAGAAAGTTAAGGTAGAGGAATCAATACAAATAGAGATCATTATTTGCAAGAAAACAAGCACTGCCGGCTTACTATCCAGTGTATAAGCCACACAACTTTTGAGCATGAATAAGCTATAAAATTATTGTTTGGTTATAATGTGGGGGGGAGGGTTTCATGATATGCTCATTCCATGGAAGCCATTTTTCCTACTCTGGTGCCTCTAAACCCTATGCGGCAGATTTGAGTGTCATGCGAGAGAGCTATGAGAATAAGAAAGTTGTGTTTTGTTAGCAGTAGACTTTTAGCATAGACTCCGATGCCATCTCATACTATGTAAAAATGATGCAGGTTTACCACATCGGCATAAATGTGAAATGACTATTTGTCCTGATCCAATAATTCACTGTAGGCACTTGAGATATTGTACACTTCCCCTCCCCTTTTATTTATTCCCCCCACTTCAGCATTTCCAAAGAGATGTGCGCATGGAAGAGGGAAAGCCAGGATGTTAAGTAGGTCAAATCTCATAATGATGTTTGTGCAGCCAAAATGCAGGGATTTTTCCTTTTCATACCTTCCAATGAGATTTTTTGTTACCACTGCACTTTGAAATATATTTTGAAGCAAAGTCTTTACTTCTTAGTTCATGTTTTAAAAATAAAATGCTGATAATTTAGTCATCTCCAAATTAATAGTCTACAAACAAAGTATCCAGCTTTTAATAGACACTATTCACATATTGCTTCACAATAGAAGTTAGATGGTGCCAAAAGATTAGGTAAGTCTTACAGTATTCTGGAGAAAATTAATTCCATCTACAATTAGGATATTATATCTATTTACTGAAATGAATAGTATCTATTAAAAGCTGGATATTTTGGTTGTAGACTATTGGAGATGACTAAATTACCAGCATTTTTAAAACATGAACTAAGAAGTAAAGACTAACTTTCTAACAGTCAAGTGGGTTCTTCTGTTTCCCAAATTCGGTCTTGAAGAGTGAAAGATTTGGGACTGAAGTAAGGGAAATAGTATATTGGATGCCTTCACTACAGCTCATTAACTCTGTCACAGTATAAAGATACACTGAATTTTCTGTGCCAATAAATATTTTCAGTGTGACATACTTTCTTTACCTTTGAAAGCTGGTTTTATAAATAAGCTTTGTGTTTTCTTAAAGAAAATACTGACATAAATTGAACTTTATTTTCCTGAATGGAGCTAAGATAGTTACTTTTGTTTCTATAGAGAATTGGAAGACCATTGGATAAGAAAATTGAAAGTAGCATCGTCTTAAAGATAGCTTTTTTTAAAAAAAAATCAGTTCAATAAAATGTTTTGATGTTCACTAAAATGCAGAGTACATTGTTCAAGACTAATCTTTTGAGTAGGTGTAATCAAGAGATTTATTTTTAAACTCTAAATTAGTTTTCTAAGCATGAAAAAATAAATACTGTATCTTCCAGTTACACATTTGGCTTTCAATCCGTAGTTTAGATTGTACTGATACTTCACTGGACATACCAGTCGGGGAGAGGCTGTCCTGGCCAGAAGGAAGGGTCAAGTAGCTGGAATCATTCAGGATCAGTCTGGAAATGTTTTGCAGAAAAAAAGGGCAAGACAACTAACAAAAACAAAACGTTTTGCACAAATTACACAGTGACCATGCTATTAATTGGTTCACAAGAGAGAGTTTAATATGTTTCTTAAAACAAGTATTCAAAAAAAAAATTATTCATAATTACTGCTGTAAGTTTTTTCTTGGATGCGTAATGCCATTCTCCTACCATAGAAGTCTCTGTATTCCTCAGGAAGTTCTTCCAGGGTTTTTAGTGCTCTATCCAAAATCTGTATTGCTCTTGAGGCTGCAGTGAGATCTTTGTTTCCATACGTATCTGTTTTATCATAGTATTCAGAAGGAAGCTGCTTCCAGAAAACATTGACTCCAACTCCAAATTCCTCAGAAGTCACATTATGGAACCACAAGGCTGATGGGGAAGGGAATTGTGGAATATATTTTATACATGTACTAAAAAAATATTTAATTTTATTTATCAACCAGTAATTGATTTACAGTGACAGCTTTGCAGGAAGATTTTTCAAACTTGCAAACATATTAACTCTAAATACACCCATGTTTCTATAAATTGAAGATTTGAAAATTGTTCTAAAAGTATACCAGTATTTGGGACTATAGATTCTTTAGGCTACATTAGACCACTAAATCTAAGAGGAAATTTATAGTAGTGAGTTGTATCTGGGAGAAGATTACTAACCACAAATGCCAGTGAATGAAGTTGAAGCCATTTTTTTGCTGATTCTTCAGTTGAACATCTGAAGGTGTTCAGAAAGTCCCTGTAATCCTTGATTTAGGACTGGTCATTTAACTTCTATTAACAATCATGACAGCCTCAGAATGGATCTTTGAAGACTCCAAGACATTTCACATTTCACCTAACAAACTAATTTAGATTCAAGTGGCATCCAGAATACAACTTCAAAAATCTACTCCTCATTGTGTTTTTGTCTTCGCCTTTCTTTCCTGCCTCATTCATGTATGCTTACCAGTTTGAGGTCTAAATAGACTTATACTTCTAAGGATACATATCTAGTAACTATAAACATCATTATTAACTGTACTATAGATGTGCAAATCTCATTGATGTTCAAACTATTCAATGTGGATTCCTTGAATTTTGAAAGAATTAAAAATGGACCCGTTAATGATGGTTATGCCAAGAGCTTTCAAATTAGCAGATAGCCACTATGAACTGTTATTTTTTTTATGTATGAGGCACTTTATTCTAATTCAAAGAGCATTCCTCTAAATTATAGTGATCATCCCTCCAACCTGATTAAACCTAAATTCGATAAGAAAAAGGTTACATCTGCTCTCCAAACGACCACTGACCAATCCAACTAGTACCCAAGCCAATATGCTTTAAAAAAAAAAAGCTTTGGATGAAAGGACAGACATATAGGCTTGAAAGTAGCCCAAATTCTCACATTATCTGCAAATTTTTAATAAATAAAATGGATGTAATAAACTGTTGCAGTCTCTTTTGGCTTTAACCCGATTGTATAATGGATCTGACATCAATTTAAATGTGCAGAGTAAAAATGAGAAGGAGCATTTTTTCAGACTAACACATTTATTAAAAGGCATAAGCTATTGGCTCATGAGTTTGGCTACTATAGATCAAACAGCTGTCCTTTTACAGTATGCAGAATAGTATAACTTGTAAGATGAAGTATATGGTTCAACCTATCCATACAAAAACTGCTGTTCTTTTCTATTGAAAGCCCAAAGGGAAGCTTCCTGCAATCTGAGAGATCTTCCAGTTGTATAAATGATGAAATGTCGCCGCTTGGACATTTAATCTTATACTGGATTATGACACGAGTCTCACCCTCATTATGCATAGAATGCTACAAGCAGGGGACCTTATTCCTAAATAAACAAGTATATTAACTTTGACTGTCATGTATTATGTTACATTCATTTTTAATATATTATGCAGTCTCATAAATGTAACCAGATACATGGGCTACATCTCTTGCTAATATTTCAATATTGCTTGTTTCCCCCCCAATTTCTACTGCTTTTTCTTATGTTAAAATCAACTTGCTTGCAAGAGGGAGTTATTGGAGTTAGAAGGACATGATTTGAGATATGGGTGGCATATCTATGTAATGACAAATTTAAGGTTAATAGAAATTTTCAAAATCACTTTTTTAGGGATGCCATATTGAAGGTTTGGAGTAATAGATATAACCCAAGATTTATGTCCAAAACTCTTTGGTTGCTACCCCAAGGTTTTCTTAGAAAAGAAACAACAGCCAGACAACTAGGTTGATTTAAGCAGACTTACTTTTTTCTAAAGAAGACTTTAAATTAAAACAAGGGAAGAACTGGAAAAGGAGGGTTTTACTGTCAATGGTTTGCTTATTCAAATGATAGAAAGATTTAAAGTACATAAGAATAGTTTTGGTTTTACAAATGACAAAACTGAATTTGGTTGAGCTACAAATGATAAACGTATTATTGCCAAGGTGTATAGACTTTTAATGAAAATGAATATACAAGATGAATACATTAAAGACTGAATGACTAATTGAAAAAAAAAAGATAAAATGCTGGATCAGTGGAAGAATATGGGGAGTACCAGTAAGATAAAATACATTTTGAGCTATAATTTGAAACAAGAATTTTTACCGGATGATGTATCATTAGTATTTAACATCTGATATATTGTCAAAGATGTTCAAGTGTGTCAAACTTATGCTGGAAATGTAAACCTTCTGAAGGTACCTTTTAATATCTTTGGTGGACATGTAAGAAAGCTACAAATTATTGGCATCAAATAAATAATTTAATTCAGAGAATTTTTAAATAAATGTACAAATGGAACCAGAGGTTTTTTTTCCTAGGTTTGATAGATAACCTTTTGGGGGTGGGGGGGGGGGAATGGGACTTTGTTTTTATATATGGTTATAGTAGAAAGACAGGTAGTCCTCGATAGTAGAAAGATAGATAGTCCATCATTTGTTTAGTGATTATTCAAAGTTAAAATCCTACTGAAAAAGGTGACTTATGACTCTTTGACGCTTACAGCCATTGCAACATCCCCATGGCCATGATCAAAATTTGGACACTTGGCCTGAGTTTATGATGGTTGCAGTGTCCCAATATCATGTGATCACCTTTTGCAACCTTCTGACGAACAAAGTCAATGGGGAAGCCAGATTCACTTAACAACCATTGCTACTACCCTAACAACTGCAGTGATTCACTTAACAACTATGGTAAGAAAGGTTGTAAAATGGGGCAAAACTCACTTATCTTGTTTAGGAATTGAAATTTTGCCCTCAATTGTGCTCTTAGGTTGAGGACTACCTGTATAGATTGCCACAATGTAATAATGGATGGTAAAATTAGTGGATGGCTGATAACAGAGAAATTAACTACCTGGATTAAAGAAAGTATTTCTTATAGCTTTGCTTCTATATGAAAACCACTCTCGGACTTTTTGTTTGAAACTGAAAAAAATGTTATATTAATTTTATGATTTGACATAATTGTTTAAGATAATTCCACTGTGCATTATTGAATTTTTTTATATTAGTAACTGTATCAAAGAAAGTTGGAAGCAACAGTATTCTTATTTTTTTCCCCTCTTTCCTTATTGTCATGCACTTTCCCCCTTCCTGAAGTATATTGAAAAATAATTACTTGCTTATTATAGACACCATAACTGAATTTTACACTCGATATAGATTAAGGCCATGTAATTTAGTGCTGTTCAGAATTTAAAAGCCACATTTATTTTCTCTAGCTTTTTTCATCAGTGATTTATTTAAAAAATACTTCT